GCATTCTGTATGGAAAGGTAGACCCCAAGGGGGCCAGAACTGGTCCCGACCCCAGCTTGTTAAGACGGATGAGGTCAGGAGCCACTGTTGATTGAGCACCTACATGCGTCAGGCAGTGTTCTGACTATTTTCTGTGTGTTGATTTGTTTAATGTCCACATCAGACCTGGGAAATGGGTAATAATATCCCAGGTCTCCAGGGGAGTTAAATGAAACACAGAGAGAAATTGCCTTATGTTAGAAAATCCATTGGTAAACAGATTCCATGACAGCAAATGGTAATACTGAGTAGAAGCCACGAAATCCCCGAGATAAGGCAGAGAACAGGGCTTCACATCCAAACTGGAAAGACTGTCAACTCCTAGCTGCAGTTCACCTAACCCCTTAGTGCCTTAGTTAATCCCTCTGTAAAATGGGCCATTCCCCACCCCCCCAGCTTAGGGGGTTGTTATATAACACCCCCTCCCAGTTTCTGGCCCACAGCACGCACTCAGTAAACAGTGGTGCTGCTGCTATTATTTCAAGTAGGAGGCACAAGAACATTTCAGAAAGACCTCAGATGTTGATTCTTCTTGGATATTTTGCTTGCACCGTAACATCTAGTACTCTTCCTAATGGATCACTCCCAACCCCAGGACTTTGCGAGCCACCCCATTCACCTTATTCTAAGACCCACAGGGCCTCCCTGGTGGCGTAAGGGGTTAAGCACTGTACTATGAAGCAATCCGCAGCCTTTGCAGCACGAGTTCAATCCACGGCGGCCTGGGAGCAACCCACATGGCAGAGCAGACCTCTCCTGCTCGCCCACTGCTCCCTTTAGCAGTGTATTTCACTCAGTCTGCCTGTTCTGTTCCCCACTCTGTCTCTGGTGAATCCTCTCACCCCCTGCATCTCTGGCCTGTGCCCCAGCTCTTGTATGCATAAATAAATAAATCTTAAAAAAAAAAAAAAGAAGACCCACAAAAGTCCATTGGTTCATATGGGAAAACTGCTTATGTGCCCGTGGGACAGGTTTGTCTTTCTCCTTAAATACCCCATTGTGCCCTGGCTAAATGGATAACTTTAGGAGAGGAAAACATGTGGGGCTAATCATTTCAGTTCTTTCCTTTGCCTGCTTGCTCTGCGACTGAGAGGTGAATCTCATTGCAGGTGTTACAAGAATATACAAGCGATGACATGAATGTGGCTCCTGGCGACAGAGTCTGGGTCCGAGGCTGGTTCCCCATCCTCTTTGAGCTGTCCTGCATCATTAATAGATGCAAACTAGATGTACGGACAAGGTAACCGTGTCCCGGGCCGTGACCCCCCCCACCCCGTCACCGAATGAGCCTCAATCACCTGCTCACTGCCCCCCTGCTTTCTCACTCTCTTCTCTGCTGTTCTCTTCCCCCATCCCACTCCCTCTTTTGCACCTGGCTTTGTTTCCTCCAGGGGACTCACAGTCATGTTCGAGATCATGAAGAGCTACGGCCACACCTTTGAAAAGCACTGGTGGCAGGACCTGTTCAGAATTGTGTTCAGGATTTTTGACAATATGAAACTCCCTGAGCAGCAGTCGGAGGTAGGTGATGAATAAAGTACTACCCCAGGTAAGATGGGGGAAGACCTTTAAGAATTTAAATGGAAGTCTTAAATACTGAGCTGCTGAAAGGATGTTTTAAAGAAAACTCCCTTCCTGGCCCTCTTCTACTGGAATTAAGTAGTAAGGGACTCTCTTCATCTGAGGAAGAGTGGGAGGTACCTGGGCAGGCCCCTGGTGCCTGCGCTCAAGGCTTCACCCCATCAGTTCCGCAGTGCACCTGACTGGTCCTCTTAGTCACGTGGCCTGTATTGACTTCTGAACAGCCAATAAACAGCAAATGTTTCTGGTCTCTTTAAAACCCATTTTAACAGGATTTTTAATTAAGTTATAGTTGGAGGTGATATTGGGAAATATTAGACCTTTTGTTAAAACGGATGTTTAATGCCTCTGGATGTCTTTGTTATTTCTCCTCTGGGGCAGAAGGGTGGGGAAAGGATATTCTATCTCACGATTTTGATATGGAGGAGTAATTTTTTTACCTCCTTTAGGAACACCGTTCTCTCCCCCCCACACACCCCCAGTATAAAAGTAATATGTTTAATATGAAAGATTAGGGATATACAGAAAATTCATAATTTTACCATTCAGAAATTAGAGATAAACTTTTAGCAAATTTCCCTCAGTCTTCTACATCATTTAATATCATTTAATGTGGTCACAGTCATAGCATAGATACATTTTCTGTTACCATAACCTCATTTTTTTTCTTTATTATAAAACAAGGGCCTCCCCGGTGGCGCAGCGGTTGAGCGCTGGGTTGCGAAGCTGCCCGCGGCCTCTGCGGCGCCGGTTCGATCCCTGGCTGCTCCCCGGCCACCGGAGGAGGGTCCCACATGGCGCGCAGACCCCTCCTGCCGCCCGCTGCTCCCCTCAGCAGTGTACTTCGGTTCTTCTGCCTGCTCTGCTCCCCGCTCTGGCTCTGGTGAATTCTCTCACCCTCCCGCGCTTCTGACTGTACCCAGTGCATGTATAAACAAAACAAACAAACAAACCAGCAAACAAATAAATAAAGCATGCCTCTATAAAAAAAAAAAAACAAATCCGAAATCAGTAAAACGGGCAGCTCTCATCCCCAAACTGACCACCTGTTTCTATGCAGGTACCTTTTCTTTTCCCTTTCTCTTTTTCCTAATAAACCTGTTCTTTTAAAATGGAAAAAAAAAAGAAAACAGAAAACAAAGAAAAAATGTAAACACTCATAGTTCCACTTTCCAAAGACAAGCACTGTTACCTTCAGATACTCCATGTGTTACGTGTGTGTGCTGTAGCGTGCACCTCCTTTCTTTTTCACAAGAGTGGAATCCCACCAAACATACTGTAACCTGCCTTTTAACTTAATATATGAATGTTTATAAATGAATTTTTAATAAATGAATGTTTCTCTACAACTATACATTTTTTTCCTAAAATGTTTTTACAGACTAGATCATATTCACAGCTATAGATATTCCATAGCCCATAAAAAATTGCTTCTAGTTTTTCTTCCTTTGAACAACACTGAAATCAACTTTTTCCCAGCTACACTTTTTTTTTTTTAAAGATTTATTTATTTATTTATGCAAGCACTGGGTACAGTCAGAAGCGCGGGAGGGTGAGAGAATTCACCACAGCCAGAGAGGAGAGTACAACAGGCAGACTGACGAAATACACTGCTGAGAGGAGCAGCGGGTGGCAGGAGAGGTCTGCGTGCCATGTGGGACCCTCACCAGTGGCCAGGGATCGAACCGGTGCTGCAGAGGCTGTGGGCAGCTTCTCAGCCCAGCGCTCAACTGCTGCGCCACCGGGGAGGCCCACCAGCTACACTTTCAATTGTTCTTTTTGTTTGTTTTGGACACATGGGTCAGGTTGGGGCATGCACATCACTGAAGCTTGTGATACAACTTCTAAGTTGACCTAGCAGTCTTTACTCTCCTGCCAGCCAGGCCTGAGAACCCCCGTTTCTCCATATTCTTCACACTTCTCCATCACTTCATACTTTGATTTATTTAATCATTATTAGTCTGATGGACCAAAAGTATCACATTAAAAAAGTTTAATTGCTAATGAGGTTGCATATTTCCCTTCATGTCAGTGATTGTGTCCTCTTCTGTGCTTTTCCACAGCCTCAGTCCAGCTTCAGGGTTAGTCATCTTCTATTGGTTTACGAGTTTTTTTAACATATAAGTAACTCAGCATGAATGTACATGAATTGCAGATGATTTTACCCACCGTGCTATCCTCAATTTCCTTCTCACTTTGGAAAATTTTAACTTTCAAGTAACCAAATCAGTTGGCTCTTCTGTTTTTGGAAACATGCTTATCAACCTTCCCCTTCCCCTCTGGTAATTTCATGGCATCATTTTTAATATTTAAATTTTAGGTATAAGATGTGAGTAGTTAAAAATCTCATGCTTGCTTTTTCTAAATCATTAAAACTTTTTAAGCATCACTTTGATTGTTTAATATTTTGGTATATGGCATTACCTTCCGGAACAGTTTTACACATTTGAACATAATGTATGAGACTGCCCATCTCACACAGGGCACGTGGTTTTAGCATTATCTTTTTATTGTTTTTCCAGAAATCTGAGTGGATGACAACAACATGCAATCATGCACTCTATGCTATTTGTGATGTATTTACCCAATTCTATGAAGCTTTGAATGAAGTTCTTCTTTCTGATGTATTTGCACAATTGCAGTGGTGTGTAAAACAAGGTACACTTTATGTCTCTAGGCATCATTTTTCTTGACATAGTGCTTAACAAGAAATTAATTTTTTCAAGATATTAAAGGCATAGGTGTATAATTTAATTAGACCAAAAAAAAAATCTCCCTTTATTTATCTAAGATGTGATGTAGTTATTCATTATTTTAAAAAATGTACTGTTGGAGGTTATACTATTCTTCCTACTTTTGTATTTTTGAATTTTCCTGAAATTAAATTTTTTTCTAATATACTATGTGGAATAAGATCAGCAGCTTCATCAATGGGCTTATTTTGCTTATTTTAGTGTATATTGCCTCATGGCAATTGGACTTCATAGGTGATTTTGACCTAGGGCTTAATTTAGTAAAATTTTCCCAAAATGATCTGATTTTAAAATAAGTGTTAAGAAGGCTAATGCTGATGTGGCAAAATTGAAAAATGTTATATTTGAATGACTAAATTTAGAAACACTGGTCCACTATTTTCTATAGTCATTTACCATTCCTTATACAAGAGCCAGTTTATTAAGTTGCAAATTTTTGACCTCTTCCATCCCTAACAATGATAAATAACTATTTGTAGTCTTCTTAAAACTATTAAAATTATAGTGCTGTCTGTAATATTTCTTCATTAATTAAAAGGCTACTTAACCCACTAGTTGCTTAGTCTCCATCTTAAAATATGAGGTATCATGGGTCTAGTTAGAGCCAAAATAAACAGTTGACTTTAATGAAAGATGTTATTTTATTTTGCAGATAATGAGCAGCTGGCTCGATCAGGTACAAATTGCTTAGAAAACTTAGTAATTTCCAATGGAGAGAAATTCAGTCCCGATGTCTGGGATGAAACGTGCAATTGCATGTTGGACATTTTCAAAACAACCATCCCACACGTGTAAGTGTTGATGCCTTTTTTGCTGTTTATTTCTGTGTTTGTTGGGTGTTGTGGACTTGGGGTGGCCTTGTACACTGACCATTTTCCTTTTCTTGCATTCCCATAGTTTGCTGACATGGAGACCTGCAGGAATGGAGGAAGAGTCATCAGAAAAACATCTGGTAGGATTTTTTGTTGTTGTCTTTTCTCTGATCTCTCATTATAGTGAAAAATTGAGCACCCCAAAGAGTTTGTGCTTTTCTGATGGTGAGTTTAAAAAGGTTATAAGATCGTAAAATTATATTAATGTGTTTTTTCAAAAGTATAGAAAAGTATTAAGAAAATAAGTCAATACACCCAATAAAAACCACAGTTTACATTTCTCATATTATCTTTATGTGACTGCATACGTATAACCCACACGTGTTTGAAGTATGGGCTCATTTGGCACATGGTATTGCTTAACAGCATTGTGAGCATTTTTCAGTATTCTTAAATCTTCTTTGAGAATAGCCTTTTCAGTGGCTGCACATTATTATAAAGTATTTAACTAATTCTCCCTTGTTGTGACTCAGGTCAGTTCTAGAGTTCATGTTATATAATTATAAATGATGCTTCGGCATAATTATCTTTATTACCCTAATAAATAGAGTGCTTTACTCTCCACCAATGAAATAGTGCTTATTCTTTATGTGAGGCCACATAAAAAAGTTCTGTTTCAAGTTTCACTTTAAAATACTTTGATTTTATTGCCAGAGTAGGGAAGGTTGGTATTGTAATATTAACTTTTATGCCCAAATAACTTTAAGGTCATTAGATTTTAAAAGGCATTTGGGACACAGCAAGTTGAAAATGAAACACATTTTGACATTTTCTGTTGTTTTTGTTTTTGTTTTTTTCTGACTTGTTTTCTGCAGTGAACTTAAAAAAAAAGCTAGCTACTACCCCTGCTAGTCTTCTTGTACTTGATCTCATTGGAAATTTATTACATCGTACATAAAGATGTGCCCTCTAAGTTGAAATAACAAAAGTATGAAATTTTGAGGGGGGGGTAAAGGGGAATAATTGGAATTGTGATCTCCCTGTGCTGCTTTTTGCACTGCATTAAGCGTGCAGCATAATCGGACTTCTGGCTGAGTGAGTCATCTACATTCAAGGGGGCCAGGCAGCATTATGCCAGACACCTTTGCTCAAATGGAGGAAAGTGAACAAGGTATTTCTCTCTGATTTACTTTTAGGACATGGACCTGGACCGCCAGTCTTTAAGCAGCATAGATAAAAATGCCTCAGAGAGAGGGCAGAGTCAACTCTCTAACCCAACTGATGACAGCTGGAAAGGTAGACCTTATGCAAGTAAGGCCACTTTTTGTTTTGGTTTGTTTTCATTTACATTTCATTTCATTTACACCCCCATGGCTCAGTCTCTAGTTCCCTTGCCTATGGCAGCCAGTGCCACTAGTTTCTTACGTGCCTTTCCAGAGACATTTGTCCATGTGCAAGCAAATACAGATATACATTCACATATACAGCACATTTGTCTGCGGATTATAGACTACTGCATCATTTTCTCCTGTATCTTAGAGATCATTAGAAACAGTGCCTAAAGAGCTTTCACATTGCCTTATATTATCCCAGGGTGTAGAGGTACTGTTATTTGCTTAATTGTGTCCTTTCTAGTATTTCCAGCTTTTCTCTGTTAAAAACAATACTGCCTGGAATAATCTCATAATAGCCATTGGTAGTTTAAATAGCAAATTCCTAGAAATAGGATGCTGGGTTAACAGATAAGCATACCTTCTATGTTAGCAAGTTTTCCAGGTTGCCCCCTGGTAATGTTGTACCTATTTACATGATCTGCAGGAACACCAGGTAAAATTTGGTCACTTTGGAGTACTTTTAATTTGCAGTTTTTAAATTGTGAGTGGAACTGATAGTTTTCATACACTTAAGATAAACCACTTCTATTTTGTTTTCTATGAACTGTGTGTGCATAATCGTTACTTATTTTGTATTGATTGTTGGTCTTTTTTATTCATTTGGAGAAGCTCTTTTTATGTTAGAGCTCCCTTTTCTGGATATGAATCTCAATCTCTTTTGCCAGTTTGTCTCTTAATGCTGCCTACAGTTTCACTGTCCATCATTTACAAAACTGGTTTCCCAGTTGTTGTGTGCCAGGCACTGTGTCTGTGTTTCATGTGTGTGCTCTCACATCATCGTTACACTAACCCTTTGAGGAGGTACTGTCTTACCTTCCTCCCATGAACTGGGACTTGGATGACACGACTCACCAATATGTGGTTCAGCTACTGAGAGTAGAATCTCTGTAAAGATTCACCCAGCTGACTGACAAGTTGGAATTTTTCTGGCGACATTCTGGATGCTTTGAGGTTGTGTGCCCCTTTGTCTTCATAGCAATCCCACCCTCTTTGGACCACCCTCTTTGAAGGCATCCAATAAGAAGGTGCTGTGTTGGAGACTGGTGCACTGCTGTCCCAGTACCTGCAGCTCAGCCACTATCTCTCCAGTTCCAGTGAGAATGAGCTGTTTCTTCATCAGCTCCAGATAAAGTGGCTGACTTGTGTGTAGATGCCAAGTGCAGGTTTCTTTAAATAGAATTTCTTTCAATGTGGCGAGACATCTCTCCTCTGAGAAATGCCTGGAACTTGAGACCCCTCTGTTTCTCCCATCTCAGCCTCCCTTCTGGGCATAAGCTCAGTCAGTCGAATCACTTACACCACTTGTATTGCCGTCTTCCTTTTTACTGTTGGCCCAGATGACACAGTTGAATTGGCATAAGTTAAATGTACATCTGCTGCAACTCCATTATATTTTTTTGTAAGCAAATCTACTTCTACTTGGTGAATTTTTATATGTATCTCTAAATGTCACACTCACTTTAAAAAAACCTGAAGCTGACCCAGCTTCTTTTGCTTTCTGTCACTAAAAGCTTTGTTTCATGTTTTCAATATTCTGATTCTATAGCAGTAAGTTAAAAAGGAATCTGTATTTTGACTCCAGTCAAAATTGGCATTATGGCATTATGTAGCCAAATTCTGTAGTCAGGCATTAATGTAGTGCCTGATGTGGGCTACCCTTGAGCCAAGGATTAAGAACAACAAGATAGATAAGACACTACTCAGAGTCTAGTCAGCTGGCAGAAACCACACCAACAGTATGAGTAGAGGGTTCTAAATAAAGACTGCTAACTAGCCAAAGATGACTCACCACCAAAAGACAACACTGGAGAAATAAGGAAGTAGAAAATGTCGAAAGTAACTCCTAACTCCACAGCAGACAGAAAGTGATCCAGGAACTAAGATTTTCTTTTTTTTTTTTTTCTTAAAGTTTTTTTATTTATGCATACTAGAACTAGGTGTAGGCCAGAGGTGGTGGTAGGTGGGGGTGGTGTGAGAGGATTCACTAGAGACAGGGTGGGAAGCAGAATAGGCAGATGTACTGAAATACACTGCTGAGGGGAGCAGCGGGCAAGACAGCAGAGGTCTGCTGCACCATGTAGGTCAGCTCCCTGGCCAGGGTCAAACTCAGGCCACAGTCTGGCTATAGCTTGATAGCACTGAGACTTTAACCTCTGCGCCACCAGAGAGGACCATGGAACTAAGATTTTAAATGAGCCCATCCCTGCTCCACTCCTCAGCACCGGGAGTAAGACTTCTCTGGAAAATTTGGCTGCCCTGGGTATCCAATCTCCCGTGACTAGGGCAGTTCAAAACTAGTCTGTACGAGTGACCAGTAGAGAATCTTCTGGAGGACACAGGTCTACATAACTGATTCCCTCACCTCTTTGCTCAGATATCACATTTTCGGGAGACCATTCCTGACCAGCTTGTTTAAGCTTACAGTCCCACTCTGACACTTCCCGTTCCCACCCCTACCTGTGTCATCTTTTGACTTAATAATCTTATACTTGAATGTTTGCTTATCATCTGCCTCTGCCATGGAAATAGGGATTTTTTATTCATTTCTGTGCCATAGCATCAGTCATGCCTGGCACATAGTAGAAGCTCAATGAGCATTTATTCAGTACTGGCTGAATCATTATTAGGGTTAATCTTTATCATCTAATATAGATCAGAAACTGTTTGCCAGCCTCCTCATCAAGTGTGTGGTCCAGTTGGAATTGATACAGACCATTGACAACATCGTGTTCTACCCTGCAACAAGCAAAAAGGAAGATGCAGAACACATGGTTGCTGCCCAGGTAATAGGAGTGGGACTCGAGAAGGCATCCTTGTCTCCGGGGAGGCTGTTTCCGCGCCGTGGGGTGTTGGAGCCAGCTTGTACTGCTTATCCTCTTTACTTAGCTCCCCTTTCCTTCCTCCTCTAGCAAGACACACTGGATGCGGATATCCACATAGAGACGGAGGATCAGGGCATGTATAAGTGCATGTCTTCCAAGCACCTCTTCAAGCTGCTGGACTGCTTGCAGGAATCCCATTCCTTCTCAAAGGCCTTCAATTCCAATTACGAACAGAGGACAGTCCTGTGGCGAGCAGGTAAGCCGCACAGCAGATAGACCACTGTGATCATGGCCTAAAACGTTAAAACCTTTGGGAAATGTCATTTCTGATATCCACAGTTGAGCTTATAAGAATGTGAGATACTCCAGCATTCCCACAAGTGACTGTCGTAGGCTCCCACATGATTTCTTGGCATTATCCCAGCAGTGTGCACTACTTATATGACTCTCTCACATGTAGGTTTTAAGGGCAAGTCTAAACCTAATCTTCTCAAACAAGAAACCAGCAGCCTGGCCTGTTGCCTGAGGATCCTGTTTCGAATGTATGTTGATGAGAACCGCAAGGATTCTTGGGAAGAAATACAGCAGCGACTTTTAGGGTAAGATTAAATTTTTTATCTCTAATACACAGATGCATCAACAATACTGCGAATTGAAAAGAGTAGGAGAAAAATACCTACATGGTTGATGCCCTAACAAACTACTTTCTTTTCTGTTTTTTCCTTCTGTCTGGTAGCTCTTCTTTCAGTTTTCTTAATACCCTGAAGAGAGGGGAGCCTCATTTCTTTGATTCAGAAGTTTCTTTCTTTTTTTTAAATCATCCAAAACTAATCTTTTTTTTTTTTTTTACATCATTTTTCATTTTTGCACAATGTATGCATTTTCT